CGCATCCATTACTTATGGGAAAATAGCATGCATTCAAAAGCCATCAACGATTATATGTTGGTGATTTATGTTCGGTGTACATTCCTTAACATTGCTTGCAGGCGAGGCCATTATGTGCACTTCAAGTCTTTTGCTGTTGCTTGCAGTTTGCTCATAAATTGTATTCATTGCCACCTTTATGTTTTGCTTATTGGATCAAATCATTATGCTCATGGTACATCGATTTCCTTTGCTTGCAAGGGATCGATATACTTGCTTATATGTCAACTTGTGTTGGCACATTACAACTTGCACTTGTTTAAGAATTGCTTTGAATTACGTTCAACACAAGTTCCCCACTTGCTCAATGGTATTCATCATAAGACTTTTCATTATCAGTGTCTCCGAGTCGCTTGTTCACTTATATCCACTTGAATGATCAGAATTCATTTATTAAAAATTTAGATTTTAATTGTTTATTTGTTAAACCAAAGTCTGGTTTCATGTGTTCCATTCAAGTTTAAGTACTTTATGATTCATTTGAGTTCTATGTGTCGTCATTCACATCAAGTATTCATTATGTTCAAATTTAAGTTCGCTTGCTATTTTAATTTAAGCTCAAGTCCACAGCACTTAGTCCAAATTCAAGTCCTCTGTCATTCTTTTGATATTCAATTTTCCTGTAATTATTCAATTTTTGTTCAAATAAGGTCCCCTGTTCACTAGAAAATCCAACAGCCTCCCGACGCCTCCCTCGTTTAAGGGAAATCCGAGAAACATAGCCTTTTCCTCTATGTTATGTGAGCACTTTAGGTAGGTGTTGATGACACAGCTACAACATTTCTTCAATCTCCATCACTCTACGTGAGCGCTTCGGGGTACCTTCTTGAAGGAGCTGAATCTTCTTTCCCCCGCTACGCGAGCGATTAAGGGTACTTAATTTCGTTATCGTCACATTACGTGAGCGCTTCAAGGCCTACCTGCCTCGTCGCGAGAGTCGCACCTGTCTCCCTCCCAACGTGCTACATAAGCATGTAGGGTTGTCCGCCAGCTCGTCGCAAGCATTGACTACAGGATTTTGAGTTAGAATTTTATACCTACACGTAGAGGCAACAATGATAGATATTTGTAAAAATACATAAAAATACACATTTTTATTTCTCACCCTCCCCTCTTTCTCTTTTTTTTTCATCTCATCATTTTTTTATTCCCTTCCCATTTTTATTTCTCTTCTTTCACTCCCCCCTTTTTATTTATTTATATATATACACACATCCATTTACATGTTTGGATTCAATAACAATGATGCCAACAAATCACAATATCAACTAATCAACACAAATAAGAGCACTAATTATGCTATTTTTAAATAGAAACTAAAAGAAGATAGTTTACTCTCTTTTTTTCTTTTTTTTTTTGAAACTAATGGAGTTAACCTTAACTTGCTGTAATGGGAGAATTTGGCAAATAAAGGGTTAAATGGGATATTTGGGTTGTTAGAATTGGGGTGTAATGGGATGTGGTTTGTGGGCCAAAATCTGAGTAGAATTTAGAGTGAGAGAGGAGCTATTGGGCTGATTAGGCTATGTGGGTTGATTTGAGTTGGCTTTAGGTGGTATAGGGAAATGTGGGCTTTGATGTGGAATTTTGAGTGGAGTAAGATGAGGTTAAGTGTGTTGAGGGAGATCAGCTAGGGCAGAGCTATGGGAGAGATTGGATTCTCGAGGCTGAGTTGGGAGTATCGAGCAGGAGCTGTAGGTGGAAGGTTCGTTCGAGAAAGGAGGTCGGCTAGGTCGACGTGAGGCTGGAAGTCGAAGGTTGTTGACAGTTCGGAGGTCTGGCAGCGTGATCTCTGACTGGGTGAAGTCGGACTAGGTGTATGGAGGTCGGAAAGAGGAGAGGAAGGAGGCTTGGTTCATAGTTCTTGCGGCTGAGGTGTTCACGCGTACAGCAACTTTGCGTGAGAAGAGGAAGAAAGCAGAGAGTGTGAGTTTGAGCATTCGATTGGGTGGTTTGCAGTGAAGAGGCATGAGAATGTCGAAGGAGCGGGAGGTGCTTGCGAGGTCTAGAGTAGGGAAGAGATGGAAGATCATGAAGTGCGGGATCTGCTTGCAGACGGACGGGCTCACGCGGGAAAGAAAACGAAGAAGAGAAGTTTCACTCTCCTTTTAACGAGAAATTATTATGTGCTGAGTGCGGACGGGAGACTGATATAAAACGGCGCTCGGCCGTCTGCACTCCGCACCTAATAATTTTTCCCTTTTAACGACGCAAATAGGGTGGGATTTTCGCATGCGGAAGATAGGATGGTTCGGCGCCGTTTGCAGAGAGATGATTACTGTAGCTACTGCAGGATTTCAGCAACTATTCGGGTATGGGCAGCAACAAGTAATAATTTAAGCATTCTTTTAATTTTTTGTTCTTTGCATATTGCAGCAAATGTTAACAGTTTATTAGAAGAGGATATTCAACAAAGGTAGACAAGATATTTTAATAAGCTTTTCAACAAAGATTGTGAGAGTATAATTAACTTTAGTGACTTTAGCATCATAAATGAAAAAAGATATTTTTTTTATCGATGTATTAGTAAAATTGAAGTTAGATAGATTTTAAAGAAAATAGAGTGTGAAAATGTTGTTGGACCAGATGATATTGCAATATAGGTGTGAAAATGCTTAGAACTTGAAGGAATTTCTTGGCTTACGAAACTTTTTAATATTAAAAGATTTCATATGAGTGAGAATGAGTATGTTAATCCTTTTTTTAATAATAAAGGTGATGCACAAAAGTGTGTGAATTATAGAGGAATTAAGTTAATGTGTCATACTTTAAAACTTTGGGAGATAGTTATTGAGCATAGTTTATGACATGATACTAATGTTTCTCAAAATCAATTTGGATTCATGCCGGGTAGGTCAACTATGAAAGTGATACATTTATTGAGAAGTTTGATTGAGAAGTATATAAATAATAAGAAGGATCTACATATGATATTTATAGATTTAGAGCAAACATATAATAAAGTTTCAAGAGAAATGCTATGGAGAGCTCTAGAAAAGAAAGAGTTTAATAATGTTTATATTCAAGTCATCAGTGATATCTATGCCGGAGCCATTACTTGTGCTCAAACACAAGGTGGTTTGACTAAGTATTTTCCTATTTCAGTTGGATTACATCAAGGATTAGCTTTAAGGCCATATCTTTTTGCTTTAGTCATGGATGTTCTTACTATATATTTAGAAGAGGATGTACCCTAGTGTATGCTTTTTGCTGATGACATTCTTGTTGTTGACAAGACTAGAGAGGGAATTGAAGGTAAACTTAAATTATGAAGGTCAACCTTATAATCTAAAGATTTTCATTTGAGTGGATCTAAAACTGAATACATGAAGTATAATTTTAGTACTAATAGATCTAGTTTGAGGGAAGATTGTGACTCTGGGACAAGTCATTAATAAGAGTACATGTTTTAGATATTTCGGGTCTATTGTTCAGAGTGATAGTGAAATATATAGGGATATTATTAGTAGAATTTAACTTGGATGGTTAAGTAGAGGAATGCATCGATCTTGTGTGATAGAAAAGTCCCCCTCAAACTTAAGAGAAAATTCTATAAGATGATGGTGAAATCTGCAATGCCTAATTGTGCATAATGTTCGTCATTAAAAGAGAAGCATCATACTAAATTAAGTGTTGCAGAGATGAGGATGCTCAGGTGGATAAGTGGCTTTACACTTAGAGATAGGATACAAAAAGAGCATATACATGAAAAGATTGGAGTAGCTCCAGTGGAATATAAGATTAGAGTCACCTTAGAAGGTTTGGTCACATAAAACACCCGCATTTCGATGACCCGATTAGGATAGTAGATGTATTAGATTTAGCTTACATTAAGAAGATGGAGGTAGAACTAAAAAGACTTGGTTAGAAAATATTAAAAAGTATCTTTCTTTATTAGATTTAAATGAGAATTTAACTCATAATAGGACACAATGGAGAAAAAGAATTCATATAGACGACTCCACGTAGTGGGATAAAGGCTTGATGTTATTGTGGTTACATTTAAATAGGATATCAATTGAACTGACGGGTCTTAAAAATCGGGACCGATTCAACCAGCCAACCATTCAACCGGCAGTTCAACCCAATTCACACTGATTTGCTCCTCGGCTAATTTTAATGGCAGACAAAAAAAGTCATATGATCGGTTCATGGTTGAACCGGTCGGTCCAGTCCTGATGCAACCAAAAGTTCCCAAAACAAGTAGGAGAGCCCTTGGTCACAAGAAAAAGAAAAATAAATACTAAACTAAGTCTCCACAACAAATTAGAAACCACAACATATACCAAATATTTCTTTTATTTCATAAATTTTAGTAGAGGACATAGAAGCTCACTAAAATTACAACCCAAAATGATTTGACCTCCCCTTTGCCTACATCAAGTCCGGTTTTCAAAACCATGTCACAACCTAAAATTTGATTAAAAAATAATTTAATCTGGACACACTACCGCTTGGCGCAGATATTTTATGGCAGGGTAGATGCACAGTCAATAGCTAGACCAATTCTAGGCTGTAGTAAAAGAAAATAATAAATTGATCTAAAGACCAATAGCCTACTGCCTACTATAATTGGATTTCAGCTATTTCAAATGCAAATTCCAAGAAAATTTTTATTCCTATGAAGTTTTAACGATGACAGTTACAGCTACTATCACCAAAGACAAACACAGATATATTAGCAATAAAGAAGGTTAATTTTCATTCACTGTTTAGATGCTATAACAAAGTCTCTCATGAGCTAGCACATGATTGCAAGGTGTGATGCGCATAATATACCGAAATGAACATAAAGGTATTTGCACATCAAACTCCAAAAAATTCATTAAATACCAAAACTCACGACTACATTCCATTTGACCACTAAAGTTCAATCAAATGAACACAAGAAAGTTATTGTATTAAAGTTTGTGTAAACAACAGATATTTTAAAAATAATAATAATAATAATAAAATTATACCATTTCACGTATATCAAGTCCTCGTGGAACTTTCACCAGTATCTTAACCATCTTCATTCCATCAGCGGTGCCATTCACTGGCGTAGAATTCTCAATTTGTACAACAGAGTCTGCACCATCAGGTATTGGACCTGACAGGCATAATAATGACGTCTATTTAAATGATGTGATTAACAAAGAAATATTGCAGCGTCATTTTTATTCATGTGAAGAACTAGAACCGATCACGAAGATTAAAAAACATTTTAGCTCCAATTTAATAATAAATACTCTAGCGAAAATCACACTGACGAAGGACAGGACTGAAATAAATTTCCTCCAATTCAATAACAAATACTCAAGTCAAGATCACACTGACGGACAGGACTGAAATAAACTTTACATGCACATACTACTGTTTATTATCCTAACAAAGATGAATAAGACGTATGATTATTCCCCCAAAACAGGCCGCCTGTGGCCCTCTACATGTAATTCCTTTTTTCAATGTTTTCTGAATAGACAATTGTTAAAACGTGGAAAATTACTCCAGTCGGAAGAGATGGAGATACAGAGAGTAAAAAGGAAAACAGAGGAAGCTGTGGAGAAGAAACTGTATATATTTTTCATATATCTGGATTACCATCTTGCTGAATACATATAGCATTGTAGAGGACAGTTTGTTAGAGATAAATGGTCAGGATTGAAAGTTCTGTTTACTGTGATGGAGTACAGGCAGCAGAGGGAAAGCTGCTCCAGAATTCAGAGTAGTGGAGATAAGGGAGCAGCAAAAGGAGAAAATGCTTTATCAGACGGCTTGCTTATTAGGCTTGCCAACAGCCCCCGCAAATTAATGAGCCAAAAGTTGGATTGTTAATTTGTCTCGAAGTTGCTGAAAACGAGTAGAGGATAATGGTTTGGTGAGAATGTCAACAGGCTGATCAAACGAATTGATATGTAGGACAGCTATTCCATTTGAATTGATGCGCTCCTGAATGAAATGATAATCAATTTTGATGTGTTTGGTTCTAGCATGAAAGACCAGGTTGTGTGCTAGTGCCAAAGCCAATGTGTTGTCACAGTAGAGAGTGGTGGCTGTAGCAAGAGGAACTTGAAAATCATGAAGCAATGTAGCTAAATGATACCAAAGGTGACTTAAGCAAGTGCTCTGTATTTTTCTTTGGATGCAGATTTGGCTACTATAATATGCTTTTTAACACTCCAAGAGAGAGTATTGCCAAGAAAGGTGCAGAAGCCAGTTATAGACTTGCAATCAGTTGTGTCAGTGGCCCAATCTAAGCTGGAATATGATCTTAAATGAAGATCTCTTGGAGTGATGGGAAGGCCAAAGTGAGTAGCACCTTGGACGTACCTTAGGAGCCGTTTGAGGGATTGATAATGTTGATTGGTGGAATTGTGCATGTGCTGACAAATCTAATTTGTAGTGAATTTAATATCTGGTCAAGTAATGGTGAGATACTAAAGGGAGCCGACTATCTTACGGTAAAGTCCTAGATCGCTAAAGGGTTGGTTTGCTGCTAAGCATTGCGGTTGCTTGACAGACATAGGTGTTAGAGAAAATTTGCACTTGGAGAAGCCAGCTGCAGTAAGCAAGTCATTGGCATATTGAGTTTGGTTCAGAAAGTAACAAGTTGTTGTATGAAGAACTTGAATGCCAAGAAAGAAGAGATGGGCCCAAGTTCTTTGAATGAGAATGTGGTTTGCAGTTTGGAAATGAGAGCTGAAATGGTTGGTTGATGATTGTCATAGATGAGTATATTGTCCACATATATAAGTAAATATGAATGTTACTGATTGAGAAAATGAGCAAGGACGGATCTGATTTGCTGAACCTGAAATCAAAATTGAGGAGAAATATAGTGAAAGTTGTAAACGATTGTCATAGAGGTTGTTTTAAGCCGTATATTGCTTTGTGAAGTTCAGAAACATATTCAGGATGTTAGGAGTCAAGGAATCTGGGTGGTTGTTCCATGTAAACATCATCATGAAGTTGCCCATGGAGAAAGGTGTTTGAAACGTCCAATTGGAGCACAAACCATTCCCAAGTGGTTGCAATTGTGAGTAGATGTGAATAGTCGGCATCTTGGCAACCGGACTGAATGTTTCTTTATAGTCAATATCATACTCTTGATTGAACCCTTGAGCTACAAGTCTAGCTTTATGGTACCATTGGGTCTTAGCTTTGTTTTGTAGGTCCACCGACAATCAAGAACTGTTTGATTAGAGTGTGTTGGAACAAGTGACCAAGTAACTTCTTTCTATAGAGATAAGAACTCAGCTGACACAGCAAGCTTCTATGGTTAATGTTTAACAGCTTGGGAGTAGCATGTTGGGGTGAAAGTGGCTTGTGGTGTGGCAAGTAAATTGAACATTTATTTGGGTTTTAGGTGTCCGGTCTTAAACCTTGTTAGCATGTGATGTGAGGGATGAGCTGTAGGTTCTCTGGTGGGAAGTTGAACCGAAGAAAGGGAATCTGTAGTTGGTGGAATAGAGATGCTGGAATGGGAGGAGTTATTAGTAGGAGTTGGAATGGATGTTGTAGAGTCTACGGGAAGGTTAGTTGGAGGTATAGTTGGGGAAGTGATGGTAGAGATAGGAATTAAAGTAAAGGGCGATGGTGTGGTAGTTTTGATGAAGGTAGAAAGTAAGAAAGATGGAGCGCTGTAGAGAAATGTGTCTTGATGGAATACCACATGATGTGAGATGTGAATTTTGCTGGTTTGCAAGTTGGAGCATCTATATCCTTTATGTGAGGTATAATAGCCCAGAAAAATGCATTCCGTGGAACGAGGTGTGAGTTTGTTTGAAGTTAGAGGTTGAAGCCATGGAAAGCAAAGGCAACAAAAGGCTTTGAGATGATTGTATGAGGGTTGGTGGCCATGAAGTAGCTGAACTGGAATAATCACTTTGAGAGCTTTGGAAGGTAGGTGATTAATGAGATAGTATGCAGTGAGAAGAGCTTCCATCTGTGTTGAATCCCGATTTGTCCGGTGGATGATGTGCAACCAAACTTTTGGATCTAGCCGTAAGCTGAGAGCCTATAAGTGAGCATAATGAAGGAAGACATAAAGAAGAAGAAAATGAGCAAGAGAACAAGAAATAGATCTAGATGAAATCTTTATTTTCCATCCAAAAGTACAAGAATAAGAGGGGCAAGAGCTCTGTCCAGCAGAGCTTAAACTAGAAAAAGGGAAAAACTAGCACAAGCTCTCTCTCTCTCTCTTTCTCTCTCTCTCTCTCTCTCTCTCTCTCTCTCTCTCTCTGTATGTCATACACGATATGTTTATCTTTGCCGATGTGATGTGATCTAACGTGTTCTTTCTTCATGGTTCCTCACCTCTATTTATAGGGTTTGGAGAGTTACAATAGAAAAAGTACGATGTATGGTAAGTACTATCGGATCTTGATATAGCTTGGCCAACTATGTCGAATGGTGTAGCTATCTTGTGAGAGAAGATGTGGGTAAGGTGAACCCATCAGAATCTGGAGATCGACTTGGCATTGGGTAGAAAGGTGACCGGATGTTGCCTCGTTGTAACAAGAGGGGGCGAGTAGTGACTTGATGTAGATCTCTGAGCTCGATGGTGGTCTGGTCATGTAGGAGGTTTTGCAGACGAGATGTGGCATTTAGCTTGACTTCTGACAGGTCTCGCATAAAAGACTGGACTTCGGCTAAAATGAATAAAGCTTGTCTAACTCAAAGAGGAACTTCTATGGTTGCCCCCGCCAACGAGGGCGGTTGTCTGGAGGATGTGGCCAGAAGTGGTCCATCGAGCGCCAGTGGTAAGCTCCCGAGCAAGTCCCTCGAACAAACTATCCTGGAGGGAGAGTGAATCTCCTTCCACTCAACCCAAACATAACCCATAAGATACCTGGGAGAGGGTACTTGCACAAGCAATCATGGGTGTACAATAATATTATTGTTGCTTAATTTAAGTCCTGTTTTAAACTCCAGTCAAATGAAATGTTTTCTACTTTCTAATGGACTCACATGCATTTATTTTCAGTATTTTTAAATTGTAATTAGCCATGTGAACTCAATCCGCTAGGAATGAAATGTTTCAGGCAAGGCTCATAAAGATTAAACAACTAACATATAATGTTTTGTATATAAGAGCATACTAGCGATTGCAGATAAGTAGTTAATTATTCTATGCATTTTATTTTGGTTCAATTATTTTTGAGATCATTGGAGTAGACATGATTTATATATGCTTAAAATTGTGGTTAATAATTAAAGGCACTTTGTAATTTTGGAAGATAATTTATTGGATTGTTTTATTTGTTAGTTAAAAGAAATTTAACTACCATCCGACCATTTGTTCTTGACTTGGTATTCCAAGTACTCAGGCCAGGTCATGATACTTATGAAAGCTCGTTACAACTGCAATTATAGTTGTTTCCTTCTTCCCAGTCCTGAAAACAGCTGCAATATTTTGATCCCTATGCTTCAGAAAGTGAATAAATATAAGGCAAAGTAATTTGGTAAACTGCAAAAGTGGCCTTTTTAAAGTTCTACAGTGCATTGCATAAGTCTTATTATTGACATAATCATCATCACCATTAGCCTTATGTCAATTTCATTTTGACATTATAAATCTTAATTTACCACCCTACTGAATATTGTCTTAGGTCAATCAAATAAACACCCTTGATAAGTAGCTATCATCTACATTTCAGTACATCTCTACATGTCGCAGTGTTTCTTAAATTTCCTACAACCGTTTGAGTTACTGAAATCTAGTTTATCAATAAAAGCATAGAAAAAGTAGTGTGAGGTCATTCTAATCAGAAAAACGACCATTTCTCCCAAAGTCTTTGGTAAAGTTTTAAAAAAAATTGCAGTTCAGAAACCTGCCAATAAATGGTCATTTTATCTAAGTTTTATTTATCAGGAACCTAAGGAATCAATATCTTAAAAAAATTACCTCCAGTTGTCACATATGCAACCGTTTCAGGGGTAAGTTCAACACCAGCACCATCATTTCCGGCTCTTGATTCGATAATTATTGGATATTCGCCAGGACCATCTGAAGCCACTACAGCATATCCATCCTGAAATTGGAAAAAAAAACCCTTGCATGTTCGTAAATAGTAAAAATCTCATATAAAGAGAAGGAATGACCACCAAAAAGATATGTAACTGTTTTCTTAAGGGTGTTAAACTAGTTCAGTGATCAGAAAAACTCCAAACATGGATCAGTCGAGCAATGCCATGAACTTATAAAGCTTAATATGAGATCGCCACATCACCAAAAAATAGAGATAATTGAAACTTCAATATTCAATGGCAAAATACATTAAGAAATCTAGTAATCTTTGTTAAAGTAGTATTTAGATTTTCTCATCATCATCATTAGCCTATGCCAACTATTTCAGGTCAATTTTATGCTATGATGCACAGACATGGACACGGCGATACGGATACGACACGGACACGGGACATGTCCATTATTAAAAATATAGGACACGGACACGGGTTGGACACGGTATTAATAAGTCATTTAACTAGAATTTGTGCTTAAAATGATTAGTATTAGGATGTCGAGAGTCAGGCGTCGATGTCATTTATTAGTCACCGAGAGAGGAGATGAAAATACCTTCACTGCCAAAAAGAAATGAAAATGAGAATATTCGATGATTGGGTATTAAGTGCGGACGTTGATTTGGTGTTGTGGATAAGAAATAAAAAATTTAATTTAAATCCGGCCAAATATATGAAACTATATTTAAAAAAATTCATACGGGCACGCGTGTCCAATTTGTATTTAATATTTTTTAATCGGACACGTTTTCGGCGTGTCTGGCACGTGTCGGAGGAGTGTCGGACGAGTGTCGTGTCGGATACGGTGTCGGACACTACACGCCTCTTTGAGGAGAAGTGTCAGTGCATCATAGATTTTATGAATCCTAGTTTTTCATTGTTATTGTCGAGTACTATGTGAAATGTTAAATCTATTCTTCACAAATCATTTTGAACTTCTATTCATATAATCTTAGGTCAACCTATTTTTACCTCCTAATTCTCTTACACTAATTTTATCAACTGGCCTTGCATATGCATTTTCCACTATTTGTTACACATTCAAGCCACTTGAGTTCCATTTTTATTCATCCTATCTTCAATAAATATCACTCCTATCTTTCCTTTCAATAATCATTCCTTATTTATATTTTATAATTTTTTTGGGGAAAATATTTTATAATTTTATCATGCATCCATCTTAATATTCTCATTATTATCACACTCAACTTAGATATCAATGAAAATTTTATAGCATGATAATTGAATTCATACAACAACATCAACCTAATTGAGGTTATAAAATTTACCTTTAAGCCTTCATGATATCATCTTATTACACAAAACTCCTCAGACATTCCTTTATTTTCACCACCAAGCCTTAACTTTAGAGGTTATATCTTCATTCTTTTGTATAATAGATCTAAGATACTTAAATTTATCACACCTAAGTATCACATGATCTTCTAATAATATTGAATGATATTGCTAACATCCTACACACTAAATTATATATAGCATACATTCAACTTTTGTTCTATTAATTATAAGGCCTCTATTTTTCAATTATTTCCCCCATTCCTCTAAACAATAAATATCTCAAAAATTATAGTGTTTTTTTTTTTCGAGTATGAAAAGTTTTGACTTAGAGATAAAACTGCAGCAATAACTACACCGCTTAAAGAAGTAAGAATTTTAATTTGAAAAAGTATGGGTTCTTTCTTGACAAATATTGCATCCCAATGAATTTCTACCATTAATTTTTTAAATCAAAATTTTCGCCCAAATTCAAATGGTTGTATCAATTCCCACCATTGTTTAAAATTGCGCAATATGAGGCTCGCCTTGAGGCCCTCCTCAGCAAAATTTTAGTGAAAAACGCATCGAGGCTTACGCCTCGAACTTATTATGAGGCTTACGCCTCATCTTGGCTGAGACCCTCCTTGAGGCACGCCTCACCTCGCTGGCATGAGGCATACGCCTCGCTCTATTTATGTATGTTTTTATTTAAAACTTAGTTAAATCCTATACAAAAGTCTCAAAAAAATCATGCCCTCTTGCGCTATAAAGCCTCATTAACTTCCTCTCAACTGCCTCGACCTCCAGCCCATCGCCTTCGCCGTAGCCACCAACGTCATAGTCATACTGTTAATGGCGAATGGCGCACCATGGCGTAAAGGTCTCTTTGGAGCCATGGCACATAGCGCACGGCGCGGCGCACGCCATTTTGAACATGGCAAAACTAAATAAAAATTATAAAATAATAAACATGAATATGAAATATCATTAAAAATGAAAGACAAGCTATCATAATAATGAAAAACAATACATAGCGGTACCGAGCGTGTATCGAGCGTGTACATAGCGGTACCGAGCGTGTACCTAGAGGTACCGAGCATATACCGAGCAGTACCGAGCATGTACATAGCAATGCCGAGCATATATCAAGCGGTATCGAGCATGTACATAGCAATATCGAGCGGTACCGAGCATATACATAGCAGTACCGAGCATGTAATTAGCGATACCGAGCATGTACCGAGCGGTACCGAGAATGTACATAGCAATACTAAGTGGTACCGAGCATGTACATAGCAGTACCGAGCATGTACCTAGTGGTACCGAGCATGTACCTAGCAGTACTGAGCATATACATAGCAATATTGAGTGGTACCAATCACTCGGTATTGGCAGAAGCACTACTCTGCGGGACGATACGGCGGAAGCAACAATTTGGCGCGCAATTTTGTGTCATGCACCATGCGCCATGGCTCACATGTGGCGCAAATAGCGCGCGCTATTTTAAACACATGCATCTCGCCATGAACATGGCGCCGTAGGTGCGCCACGCCGCGTCGTGCGTCATGGCGCGCGCTATTTTGCGCCATTGACAAGTATGGTCATAGTTGCCGCCGGGGATCACTTGAAATTCACATACCGCCACCATCTCCTATAAAAATTTAAGTATTACTCTTATTTTATGTTGATGAAAAACATTTATGAAAAAGGAAGATGGTTGAAATAAATAAAAAAGTAGATTGATAGGTATTGGACCCTACAGGTTGAGGCAAAAAAGATGTCAATTTATTATGACGACTCAAATAAAAATCCCCTTAGTAATAATAGTACATGTGATTTATGATTTGTTGTCAATTATTTTAAGTTTATTAGTAATTAAATGTAGATGTGTAGAGAACTCATAAAGAAGAAATTTAAGCTAAACTTGATGATATATGATACGTTTATGCAATTCATATATTTTATATTGTTTTTCTTATGTGATATTTGGATTTCAATTCTATTTCATATTATTTATTATTTATCACTTTATATTTTGTGTAATTTTTTGTGTGATATTTATATAAATTTGTTACTTCATAGTTCAATAGAAAGTTAATATACCATCCTTTAACATAATATTTAGATATCATATAAAAAATCATTTTTAACTTTTATTTTTTACTTTTCGCAATTTTTAAATTTTGAGGCTTATGCCTCAAAACGCCTTGAGACTTGCGCCTCGCCTCATGAACGAAAAACGCCTCAATACCCAATTACTCAATTTTAAACCTTGATTCCCATAGCTTGAATATTCTAAGTAATTTTATAATCATCATCACATCATCATTAAACTTATCCTAACTCTTTATTGTTGCCTAAACCCCAAGTTTTGTGTCTTGAGCCTCTGAATTAATTGGGAATGGAGAACATAAGCAACAAGAGATAAATCTAAACCCAAACAAGTTATTGACTCTTGTTACTGATGATCTACACTCTTTCATGTACATAGGTGTCTGAAACACAATAATTTTGTATAAACTTTCTAGCATACACATCAAATAACATTCACACCACCGTCCTTTGCAGCTTTAGTCAAAGAGTTGATTCGAACTAGCCTCCCAACCAATGATAATCATAAGGATAAGCTATATCATCCTATCCAGTGTTGTCAACAGGCAAAAGCCTTATTCTTCTTTGAAGTGAAAATCACAAGTAAAGCATCTGCTTCAATCAAGTGAATTACACATTTAATAATAAATGGACACCCTAAACTTTAATCCTAACAGAACACTACAATGTACAGAAAGTCATAACCACATCTACAGGAAATTAAATTACAAGAGTTACAATATATAGTAAGCAAGTTAAACTTCAACTTTATGAGACAAATAGAGTTTGAGGTGTACCTTTAAGAAGACTCAATATAAATAATTGACATCAAATCCTTGATCGTCTAACAAACAACAACAACAACAACATCAATTCTTTATCTCACTATGTGGGATCGGCTACAAGAATCCTTTTCTCCATTGTGTTATGTTAAGAGTCAAATTCTCATTTAAATCTAATAAAGAAATATCATTTCTCATTTAAATTTTTAATTATGCTTATCTTTTGATATAAAGCATTGCAGGTCTCACCACCATCTTATAGAATTTTCCCTTAAGTTTGAGGGGGACTTTTTTATCACACAACAAGCCCAATGCATTCCTCCACTTCAACCATACAACTTAAATTCTACTAATAATATCTCCATTTATTTCACCATCACTCTAAATAATAGACTCGAGATATATATAAAGCATGTACTCTTATTAAGAACTCGATTGCCCAAAGTTACAATCCCCCACTAGATCTATTAATACTAAAATTACACTCCATATTCGGTTTTAGAACTACTCAAACAAAAACCTTCAGGCTCTAAGGTTGACCTTCATAATTCAGGTTTAACTTGAACTCCCTCTCTAGGCTTATCAACAAGAAGAATATCATAAGCAAAAAAGAATATATCAAGGTATAACCTCTTACAAATGGAATGAGAGCATCCATGACTAAAACAAAAACATATAGGCTTAAGACTGATCCTTGATGTAAGCCAACTGAAATAGGAAAATACTTGGTCAAACCACCTTGTGTTTGAACACATGTAACAGCTCCTACATACATATCCTAAATGACTAGAATATAGCATTATCAACTCCTTTTTTTTCTAGAACTTTTCATAGCACTTCTCTTGAAATTTTATCATATGCTTCCACTAAATCAATAAATATCATATGTAAATCCTCCTTATTCTCTCTTAATGACTTGATCGTTAACAACTTAACCAAAATTCTATACTTAAGAAATGGAGAGAGGCTCGGATTCAAATCCAAAACGTGTTCAACTTCATATTCCTTATCATATGGTTGCATTGGTTTCATATTTTTTCGTATTTCTTTTGCATCTAGAAATTTTTGGCATTTTCCGAATTTATTATGTATTTCTTTAATTTATTTCAGATTGTTTATATTTTTGAAGCTTTAAAAAGGATCAAGCATCATTCTTAACCTCGCAGTCTAGTTCATCACACATCAAGTTGAAAAATGAGTGCAAATGAAGTTTGGATTAGACTAAGACCAAAAGACAAGTTTGTAATGCTTTTATGAGGCAACTTGACCCAAATAAGATCAACATAATGATATTTCATCCTAACATGGGTCAATTGACATCAATTGACTTTTATTCTTATCTCGATGACAATAAGCTCATTAAAATCTACATAAGTTGATTTTTATTAATTGTTTGTATTATTTCACTTTAGCTTAGTCGTATTAGCAACTTTTGCTAGTCCAAATGCCTATGTCAATGGTCATAATTATGCCATCAAGAATATTTGGATCAGGCATGTGGCATCGGGCGGTGGTTTGTCCAAAAACTTTGACAATAGTTCCTCATTAAGCAAGCAAAGAGGTTAGTGCAATAACTACAATGTCATACATGCTATGCCCTTAAAGACATGTATGGAAGTGAACAAGGCAATTATAACCATAAATGATCCTCTCACCAAGATTCAAAAAGCATGCAAGAGTGGTGCATAAAGAGTACCCCACTCTAACAAAACTCCATCACTCCCATAAAGAAGTGAATTAATCCTATCTTGTCATTCTTATCAAAATAATATAATAGCAAGGAAAAGATGACTACCACCTGCCCCTAAATTCGCACATAGGACTTCCAACCACCCCCCAAAGGAATGCATGAGCTCTCAGAAAAGTACCAGTAGAATGACAACATAATAATATAAAATAAATGAATAGCCTCCCCACCATAATTCTGAAGGAGTACACGGTAAGGTACCTATTGAATTTTGCTTTAAAGGCAAGCAAATTGTGACCCCCGCAAGCTTAAGATCGAGGCAAAAAACATAAATAATTAAAGCACGTCTCACTAGAATGTGTATAACGCAAGCCTTCACTATGCATTCCAAGTTTAACTTATTCGTATACCCAGACGCTCACAAAGATAATCAAACTACTCTAATATATTGCATAGCTCCCTCAATTTCAATAGATATCTCCAATAGACGTAAGAGTTAACATTTATGTATCTTCATTAGAGAATCCAATTAAACATTAATAACCTCAATAGCATCTTCCTCTAAGATATCTCCAATGAAATTAACAATGCCACTAGACAGTACTTAGCCCAAATTATTGCTATATTGAATCAATTCCTATTTAAGGCCTCAAAAGTCCATTGTGCTCTGATTATTATAATATATGGTTAAATTAAATTACTCCTTAATAATCTAAACAAACAAAAAATTAGCCTAATGAATGCTATTAAATACCAAATAGTTTAATTAGTTTTACTAACATTAACATGTCCTAATTCTTTAAAACTAATCCCTAACCAGCGTTTTATAAATAAAAATTTACCCTATTAACATAAGTCACTAATTAAGGCTAATTTTTTATACTAAAAAATTAAAGCCTATTTATTATCAATGTATTTTTTAAATAATATAATAGTTATTAAACCCTAACTAAAATCTATTAATCCCTGATGAGTTCAATTAAAAAGTAGTCATAATTATTGAAACTATTATTTAATACACTATTAAAGCCTAATTAATCGCTAATTACTCTAAAAGTTATTAACCCCCTACAGAAGCCAAATTAATTCCTAAACAAACCAAGTAAACAACAATTAGACAAATTAATAAAATTAAGAATTAATTAATGCGATTAGTCCAACCTTAACTAATGAGCCCAATTCTTTGAATTAATTAATAGCTCCAAAAATAATCCACTAAATTAATTAATCTTTATTTAGCTTATTTTAACATTCTGACAATTAGCTTACTTTTACGAACTAATCTATTCCATCAAAGCTCAAACTCTAATTCTTTAATCTCCTCATTATTTCAACTGGTAGAAAAGCAGCTTCAAAATTTTAATATATTGAGAACCAAATAGTTTTCAAGATACAATCCATTAAGATAATGCCAAAAAAAAAAACATTCAGATTATAGGATTGAGGCCTAACAAGATAGCATAAATTAACGTTTATCAAATCCTAGTGACAACCAAGCACCCGGTTCGAATAAAAACTTTAAAACAATAGAAGTTGAAAGTTATTTACTGGGCTTGGAACTCATCATACCTTTGATTAATTAAAAAAAAGAAATGCTAAATACACAAGTATGGAGAATGAATGTGAAAGAAAGGGACGGGATGAGTCGTTGTACAAACAAGAGGTCTCATGTTACCAAATAACAAGCAAAAGTACCAAGCGGCAACCCTTGAAGTGAAAAGGAATGAGAAGGGAGAAGAAGGATGGTGATTACAAGACCTTGATGGAAGCACGAAAAGGAGGGAGGGGATCGGGAGCGCGGATGTCCTCGGCAAGCACCAGTCCGAGAGCCTCTACGAGGGGGAGGCTCACCGACGGCAGGCGCGCCGCCGCTTGCAGCACCATGGCCAATGCTTCATCCACGGGGATCATTCCACCAGTTGGCGCCGCCGCAGTTGAACTCATGACGGCTGGGGTGCTGTGGCGGTACCAGGCTGCAAATTTTCTGGCTCCCTCGCTTGCCGGCCTGTCTTCTGCGTGAGAAATTAATAGGTCTGATACAACAGTGCTATTTGGATTGAGATTGGGTCTATTTTATTGCTTTTAAAATAATTTTTTATGAAAATATTAGATTTTATTTAAGATATTTTTTTACTGTTTTTGTAAAGAAAATTTTTAGTATAAAAAATTATATAAAAAAGTTATTTTAAAAAGTATTAAGAAAATTGTCTCAAACAAAATCTTAACTATAAAAAAATAAAATTCATAATGGTCGAATGCATTCAAAATTTATTTTGGATTGAAATATTTTTATTATCCAAAATTAAATATTTAAAAATTAATGTTCAAATCTAATCAGCTCAGTTCAAAGCAAGTTGGTCTTGATAAATTCAAGTCAATCTGATCTTCTTGGCATCAACTCAAACAGAACTCATCCGAAGCAGTCAAGTCCAACCAGTAAATTTATCACAAGCGGACAAGTACGACCTAACAAATTGGTATTAGCTACTCTTCAAGTGGACTACTTTTATATGGAAAACTATTAATTGGTTGTTCGTCTACTTATGCGTGTCAAGTCAAAGAACTCATATTAGTTTGGCCGATTACTATTTAAGTCAGATATTTTAATTTAGATACATGATTTATGTATTTTCTTTTTTTCTATATAGTCATATATGTAGTTAATTATGTAATTCTCAAGCCTCAACATAAATCTTTAAATTGAGGGTCAACTGGTGAACTCAATGTGCATAGTTTTTTTATGCCCAAACTTATTGTACATAAATCTCTTAACTTCTTACTCTAAATCTTTTTCTTTCACTCTATATTTCTCCGCTCTCTTTTCAATTCAGTTTGATTTGATTCATGAAAAAAAATTTGAATTCAACATCCTGAAATGTGTGGTGGATATGGAGCATGCCATAAACTAAAAGAGGGATATACTTCTCAAAATAGAGCAACATGTCAAGATAGAGAATAATTATAAATATGAAGAATAATTAGGCATTCATCATTATAAAATAACTTAAAATTTTGAAGAGAGGTAGGTAAGAATGACCCATGGAGCATTATAACGAAATCTAAGGGTGAAGGAGCTGTCATCAGGATCTTTTGATTATGCCATCCACTTCTTCATCTCACACCTGTTCAGATGCATAGATGCACAGATGGAGGAATCATAGGTTTGCACAGGCGCATAAAACTTACTTATACAGCACATAAAAAATTAACATCTATCACTTCAATTTTTTGGCTCCTTTCACGTATTTTTTTCAATACATAAATATAGAAACATCAGCACTTTCAATATATATGAACAACATTAATCATGATTTAGAAATATATGAAATTTCACATGTATGAAAAATAGAGTAGTTTTCATGGGATAAACTTATATACACATTCAACAGTAGCAAATTAGAAATCATTCATGAGCAATATTCACAACAATATTTTAAAGCATTTATTATTCTGTAATAATTTCGACCAGTGTCAACATGCTCATTAAAATATTTAAAATATTGTACAACTCAAAATACCCCATAAATTTTTTATATTTTTCCTGTCAATATGATCAAAACATTCTATTATATCATATACAAAAAGTTATACAATCAAAAATTTTTAAATCTCTATAAACTTGTATTTGTATAAAATCCAATAAAAATATCAAAAATACCAACACAAGCAACAAAAGTGAAATTTAAAATAAGGTAACAATTACTTACCTCGCGATGAACAATATTTACAACTGGTCTATAAGGTGAAATCAGCTCTGCATCCCCTAAATTTCACTTTCTCTCTCTAAATTCTCTCCATCACTCTCTAGCTAGCTATCCTAAAGAGAGAAAATAAATTTTAGAAAATATATCTGAATATTTATAGACCTAGCACCATAGTGCTACCTTCCACATCATTGCAGTGCTCTCAAAGAGAATATTTCATATACTCAAATAGATACTTTGGTGCTGTTGTGCTCCTAACTAGAGCTTCAACACTACACTCTAACTCACAGCACAGTGGCATTCACTTTCTAGTGTCATAGCCCCTCCAAACAAAGAAGACAATGATGCAACATCAACAACACAATTGTAGTGCCCTAAGTGGAAAATTTTAGAAGTACATAATTTTTTCTGTAATTGTTAATTAAACATATAAATTCTTACTAGGTCTAATTCAGGTTACTATAGGTAGTCTCCTTACTACAGAAATTTTCATTAGTAAAGCTCAAAACTTCTCACCTAAATTCACATATGAGAAAGTCAAAACCAATTAACTAGGTAACATCTTTGAGCTGGTCTTCTCATTGCTTAACATTGATGACATATTGAAGTATAGATTATTCTTCATTGCCTTTAAGGAATCGCTTTTGCGACAGAACTCATCTCTTCCACTCAAGGTGATTACATCATTCATCTAGTTCAAGAGAAGGCTTGTTGCCTAGTTTACCATAGCATAAAGGCTTCTTAAAAGTTCACTAGTTTTGTTATGAATGCGGTAAGAGTTAGGAAAGTCTTTGAGGTTCTTTATAACCCAATTCCAAAATGAGATGTTAAATGTGAAGGATTTAGAGATGGATGTGATTCAAGCTAATATAATATAATATATATGAAAGGGGTCTTTTAAATATGCACTTAGTTTTCAACAGTCGAGAAACTTGCCTAAGTTGTTGAGACTCACCCAAAATCATATTAATGTTGAAGAGTATAATATTGAAACTAATGCAACAATAGTGAGGAGGAAAGAGAAGTACGATATGTGTGAAAAAATTTAACAATTTCCTAGGAACCAAAGAAGGCCAACTATTAGAATTAAGACCACTCAATTAAGGCCAACTCACCAACATAAGAATTGGTGATCTAAAAAAAGGTTTTATAATGATCAAAGAAGAAGTCTACACTCCTAGTGAACTCATCATTTTGAGGGGCAAGTACAAAATGAAGAATGATGCATGATCACCATAGAGATATAATGCTACTACCTCAAAATTTCCTATTATCAATTGTGACTCTGTTCATAGTCTTTATGGTCGAGCTTATTAAGGTCATTCAAACTGGGCCGATCAGCCTAATGATATAAGAAAATCGGCTCGTTTTGAGGAGAGAGAAAATCATTTTTATAAAATCAGATATTTTGAAGAGAGAGAAAGAGAGGAAAAGTAAAGGAAATCCTTGGTTTTGGAGGCCGCGGAGCGCTTTTCGTCCGACGCCGCTGCGGCGATTTTATCGGTCGGAATTGATTCTACGTGATTTTAATTGAATAGAAAAATATCAG